TATATATATGTGTGTGTGTGTGTGTGTGTGTGTGTGTGTGTGTGTGTGTAAGAACGGATGATTTGATACGATTACTTAGTGAATTTAGTCATGTCCGCAGTAAATTGAGCATGAACGGAAAAGCTAGGAAGAACTTGACAGTAATATAGGTAAAGCCTCAGTATGGTCGGGGGTGGGTGTCTAGGATCACCCTGTCCTTGCACCTCGCGAAATGCTCCCATACGACCAAGCGTATCAAAAAGCCTCTGCCGAGGAAGCCCTACTCACTGTCTTCACGTGGCGGCGTTTTCCCACCAAAGTGAGAGGACGAATGGTCGGCATCCGGGTTGGTGGACCACTGGTGATTCACCTATGGGAGTTGGCCAAACATCCTGATTCCAAACTAACCAAGAGGTGTACGAACAACACCCATACATTTTCGGTTGTGGCAATGGTCACCGGTTCATTTGGGCACCTGGAAGTTTGACCCCGTCCAAATAGCGTATGATTCAATGAACTGGACACCGGCTTCCAATGGATTGCTGTTTTCGAACACCGTCCCGCTGCCTTGCGGGACAGGCTTTGGTTAGCCGAAGGCTCTGGTTGTGAATTTCTCAAGAAAATTCACTGCCTTGGCCTGGGCAATCTGGCAGTATTCAGCCCACAAGCCAATCATGGAACGTTTTTCTTTTTATAAGGATTATTGTACTATGATTTGCTTAGCACAGTCTGGCCTCAGACAAGTGTGAAATATAATAATAATTATTTACACTGATATGACTGCGAATTAACAAGTTGGTCCTAACTTGAAAGACTCTTTTGGCTCCTCTTTACAGCATACCTTCATTATGGAGTGTGCTTCTCTTACTGCATTTATTTATATGATAAAAAGCCGAGGCATCACTAATCGATTAGATCCCCGCAAACAGTCGCTTATGTGCGACGCAGCTCCAAGGGCCTATTAACGCCCGAAAAGGAAACAATACCAAAAGGTGTTTGTTCATCATTTCGGTATTTGCACCGACCAGTTGTAGTTCTCAGAAACAAAAGCACGCTTCCTACAATAAACTTACCGAACTCATTTGGATGAGTAGAAGCTCCAACATAGTCGTACTTGCAGGTGACTAACGCGCATATTGGAAAACTGAGTGCATCGGAAGCTTGCCAAGTCGGTCATTGTGCTCTGCCCTGCCAACGAACAGATAACGGCGATCGATCTCTACAGTTCTGAGCAAATTACCATTTGTTCCTATCCAGCACCAACTCCTGGTACGGCTCTCAACGGACATCAACGTGGAGCTCCAAATTAATTGGTACTTTAACTCAAATCAGGTACATTACAGTAAGCTACCGTTGGTGTGGCTCAGCGCAAAACTGAAGGTCCTATTGGAGCACCTGCAGTGAATCTGATTAAGCGTTAATCTCGATGCAATCCGCTCTCCGATTGACTGGTCGCAGAAAAACCCACCATACTCGATTGGCGGATCATCGCTTATCTGAAACAGCCGTTCTTGCCAGCTTTGAATGAGAACCAGGGCAGGAGTTAAACGAGCCGCGGTGTGGTAGTGTAGATGACCAATGGGATCAGATTAGACGGGAAAGGCGTTCTGAAGCGAGGGTTGTTTGGGAACCTGAAGCGGTAGCCCGTCCAAAGCATTGGACATTTGATGAGCTTTTTTAATACACACTTTCGTGTGATGAACAGCAGACGAGGAAAACCCCATAGTCACGAGGTGCTACTGACCAGTGATGGAAACCGGGAGTCTAAGCCCCGGGACTTGGAGTGGCGAACCACATAAGGCCCCGCTAGGTTTGGCGAGGTATTGAACCGGACGACAGCAAAGCTGCCTACCACCAGAGGTGG